TGGCGCGGTGCTTCACTGGCCCCCGGTGGTCACAGAGGGCGGCGCAGCGTCCCATCGCGCACGGGGCGCGCCTTCGCTCTGCACCCGCTGGGCGCCGGCTGGCTCCGCCCTTGCCCTTGGGGACAGCGCCCGGGCCACCCGGAGCGCAGACGCCGCCCACAGAGCGCTCGTCTCCTCGGGGTGGGTGTGCCCAGGAGCGGGGTTGCTGGGTTAGGTGCCAGCGCCAGCTTTAACTTTTCAGAAACTTGCGCAGTGTTGCCCACAGAGCCCACCGCAGCTGGCATGCCTGCCCGCGGGGCACCCTCGCCAGCACTTGTCCTCGCTCGTCCTTCTGGGGAGAGCCATCCTCGAGGGCGTGGGGTGACACCTCGTGGTGGCTTCGATTTGCGTTTTCCTGAGGATTAGTGAGGTCAAGTACCTTGTAAGGTACCGATTGCCCGTTTGCATGTCTTCTTTGGAAAAATGTCCATTCAGTTCGTCTACCCTTTTTTTTTTTAATCGGATTGAATGGGTTATTTTTGGTTCTGAGTTTTATGAGGTTTTTTCCATGTATTTTGAATACTCGCCCCTTATCAGATACGCAGTTGTCAAATATTTTCTCCCATCCCTTAGGTTGCCTTTTCCTTCTGTTCGTGGTTTCCTTTTGTGTGTGGGAGCTTTTAAATTTGATGTCGTTCCACTCGCTTGTTTTTGCTTTTGGTGCCTTTATGTTTGGTGAGAAATCCGAAATATCATTGCTGAGACCAGTGTCAAGGAGCTCAGCCCTATATATTCTTCTAGCGGTTTTACAGTTTCAGGCCTTAACTTTGTCCTTAATCCATGTTTTGTGTGTGTGTGGTGGAAGCTAGGGGTCTGATTTCATTCCTTTATGTGACAATTCCATTTTCTTAGCACCATTTATTAAAGAAACTATCTTTTTCCTATTGTACAAAGTAGAGCAAAAGTAGGTTTGCAGTTGTGACCCAAGACACAGTGTTTATTCTTGTATTATTATTTATCAATTATTGTATTATTTTTATACAAACAACTTTAAACCCACTTTTGACCCACCCTGTCCATTCTTGGCTCCTTTGTCATAAAATAATTGACCATATATGCATGGCTTTATTTCTGAGCTCCCTATTCTGTACCATTGATCTATATTTGATGCTAATACCGTACTGTTTAGGTCACTATAGCTTTGTAATATAGTTTGAAATCAGGACGTGAGATGTCTCCAGTTTTGTTCTTCTTTCTTAAGATTGGTTTGACTATTTGGGATCTATAGTGGTGCCTTACAAATTTTAGAATTTTTTTTTTTTCTGTGAAAAATATCATTGAATCTATAGATCACTTTGGGTAATAAGGACATTTTAACAANGGGTGCCTTACAAATTTTAGAATTTTTTTTTTCCTGTGAAAAATATCATTGAATCTATAGATCACTTTGGGTAATAAGGACATTTTAACAATATTAATTATTTTAATTGATGAGCATAGACTATCTCTTCATTTGTTAGTGTCTTCTTCAATTTCTTTTATCAGTGTCTTACAGTTTTCAGTGTACAGATCTTTTCCTTTTTAATTAAATTTGTTCCTAAGCATTTTGTTCATTTTGATGCTACTGTAAATGAAATTATATTAATTTTTTCCTGAGGCTTTGTGTGGATGTACAGAAATTCAACTAATTTTTTACTATTCATTTTGTATCCTGGTAGTAGTATTTCATTTGTTGGAAGAAAGATAGGAATGGAGAAACTCTCAAGCTATATATATACCCTGATGATTTGTCCTGTGCCAATTGACTTTTTTTTCCCTTCAAGCACAACGTTTTTAAATCGATTTTATGGCTCTCTTAGTTAAGAACAGGTGACTCAGCAGCTCATGTGAGATAAGATATTTTGTAATAGAGAAGATGATAACAGCAATAAATATATTTGTGAGATAAGCTATATTTTTCCAACCCAACAGGGACAACTCTAAGAAATCATAAATTGTCTAGATGCAACAAGGTTAGAATTAAAAGGCATCAAAAATCTGCCAAGAGAGAATTAGGTTTATTTTCCCTTTTCTCACTGTACCTCATATCTACAGAATAGAGTTGTGTGCAAAAACTGGAGAGAAAATAGTCCCTCGAAACATGTTGGAGGGAATTAAATGAAAAAATGTGGGAAGCCACACAACCAAAAACTTCCAAATCCCAGGACAATTAGGAAGGTAATTGTAGTCAAGGAATTCGGAGCCCCAGTCCCTTCTTCGGCTTCTGTAATGAACTCTCCCCAGCAGAAAAGAGGTTTATAGTTTTCTCTTTGGGTCACTGCCTACAACTCTTGATTTCATCTGTGTTCTCTAACTTTAAGGATGATGTGTAGGGAGCATGTGTAGAATGGCTTTTACCTGTTCACTTCAGCAAGACTGATACGAGCCAAAGTTTGCTACATTTTTAAATTAGAAATTAACTGTTTTATTTATTTGTTTTAAATATATCTTTATTGATTTCAGAGGGAGGAAGGAAGAGAGAGAGAGAAACATCAATGATGAGAGTCATTGATCGGCTGCCTCCTGCACGCCCCTGACTGGGGATCAAGCCCGCAACCCGGGCATGTGCCCTGACCGGGAATCAAACCCTGATCGCCTGGATCCTAGGTCGATGCTCAACCGCTGATCCACGCCCTGCCAGGCATTAACTTTTATTTATTCATAGTATGTTTCTATAATTTCTTGTCCTTTTTTAAAGGCATGGCTTCCTTCTGAAAGTCCAGTGTCCCATTTACTCTTTTCCTTCTTTCTTGATTTGGTGCAGCATGCAGAGCTGTCTCATCGAATCACGGGGCGAAAGGATTCCAAAAGTTAAAGTTCAGTGAAAAAGGAAAAAAATAAATGAACTAGTATAAAACTTGTTTTTATCTGTGGTTATGGACAGATATAAAATGTTTTGTATCTGTGGTTAGAGTCTCACGTACCACTCCGGTACAGGACTCTGATAGTGTGAGAGGCTACGCATATGTGGGAGCAGAGATACCCTCTGTATCTGCCAGTCAGTTTTGCTGGGAACCTGAAACTGCTCTAAAAAATAAGATTTACTAAGAAAGAGAAATGAATAAGGAAAGAAAGAAAAGTTTAGCCTCTGTGTATTTTTTGTTTTGTTAATTTGTTTAAAAGTAGGGATTATTGAATAAAGATAGTTATATAACTATTACATAATATATATATAAATATAAAATATAATATAACAATAAAATTATATAAATAAAGGATTCTTAACAGAGTGCTTTTGAACATCTAAAATCAAAAGGCATAAACATTCAATTCCTAGAAGATTTCATGGATTTTTAAAACATATCTTTAGTCATTCATCAAGGGTTTTCTGAGCAGAGCTATGTGCAATGCAGAAGGAATGGGAACTAATATGTGTTTCCAAGTGATTGCTTAGAAAAAAAAATAAGCACCCTCTTTTCTAGGAAACTAAATATTCTCTAAATCACTGTCAGAAACAGTTAACTTCCAGCCATTCAGTATTGGTTTCTAAATGCCTTGGAGACACTAAACATCCCTGTTCTCTCTCAAGCAGAAAACATTTCATGACTCTGCCTGGAGATGTCTTATTAGTCACCTTGAGAAACAGTAAAAGGCACACATAGGAAAGGAAAATTTTGTGCAAGTGAGGAGACTTCTTCCAAAGTTATCTGAAAGACCTTTGAGTTGTACAAGAGTTAAATCACTGACACCCAGCCCCCAAAGATACGGTGCTCTCTGAAGTCACAGGTACAGCTGCATTTCTCTCCTACCATATGAAAAGAAAGATGTAGTATATTTACATCACACGCATTCGGTGATATCTCCATAGATCTTTATACAGTTTTGACTGGCAAATATTTCCTTTTCTTACCAATGCACCGTAGTTCTGACCTTAGTCTTAATGGGCAAATGAACTGTGCTTGGGAAGTAAGGAACAGTGCCATGCTTTGAAAACTTCAACCAACAGATGGTCTTGAGGCCAAGTCGCTATAAAGTTGGTAACCCCATTTCTGCATCTTTAAAGCAGGCAGGTAGTAGTTCGAGTTAGATGATTTCCATTATTCCTTTCAGGTTGAGTACTGTCTTGGTGAAAAGGCTGGTTAACTTTACCCATGTTATTTTGCTGCTCCAGCTCTGCCCCAAATTGGAAATTCAGTAACGGTGGGACTTGGCCTACATAATATCAGGAGCACAGTGGAGTTCATGGATATTTCTCTAGGGTCTTATCAGAAATCTAGTTTGTGAGGAAACGGGTTGCTCAGAAATATTGCATGATGCTGTTCTTCTGAGACTGATGAGTGCCTAAGTGTTTGTGTCTCAAAGTGTCTGCTTAGAATTATTGGTATGCTTTATTTCTTTCAAATGCTGCGATTTTAGACAGAAGAAAAATCCTCATTTCCATTTTTGCAATACATTTGCCAGTTATTCCATTGCAATTATTTATGTGTTGACATAAATTTCTATAAAGTGCCCCGAGATTTGACTCTGCTGTGCAATTGTGTGCTATTTGTACAATGAATTTCTATTTCATCCTTTGCAAATGAGTGCCTTGCCAGGACATGTTTGGTTCTTGTTTTACTCTCTGAATTATAGGAAGGCTGCACTTTGTGGGTGAATGGAGGTTTTCTTTGCTTTCAGAGCTCTTAGCCCAGCTAAATGTCCTGTCATGAGCCAGTTTGTCTCACATGGGTGTCCTGAAGCTGGTGCCTGAACTGGCCAAAAGGGCTCATCTGAAATGAGAGCTTCTCTCCAGTGGAACAGATGATACTGTGTTTGTTTAAGAGTTTTCACTGCCTTAAATGTCAGCTAAGTCTGAACAGCATTTCTTTTGCTCCATATAAAATATAAAAATTATGAATTGTCTATAGAAACCTGTGCCTTGTCCATTGTATTAGGTATTAAGCAAACTCGTTTTGAACAAGACAAAAATAGTCCCTTATGAATTACTGATACATTTAGTCATGAGGATGGGCCCTTCCATTCCCCACCTAGCCGACTAGATTAGGTACTTTCCTTTTCACCCTGGGTGGTACTGAGGATTGATTTCACTAAAGAGCTAGTCCATTACTATCAAGCCACCATTACTTTCCTCAAAGCTAAGAACCACATCACAGTGTTTCCAATGAAAACCTGGGGATGGAGGACTGGGCATACAGAGACTTTTTATTTATAGAGATGCTGATGAGCAATGCCATTAAAGAGAAGGGGAATGGGAGCAGGTCCCCAAAATCAACAGCAGCATCAGAATTCATGTGAAGCTTGAGGTTTTTAAGAAACTAAATTTCAAAACTAAAAATGGGCATGTAAATTTTATTAAAGCTATGACCACAGTATTAACATAGATCTCTTTCATTTCAAAAATGTAGGAGAAATGAGAAAAATGTGATGGAAGGAGTAAAGAAAAGAAAAACTCATAAAATATTATTTCTTTAATGCAGGGGTGGGGAATGACCAGCCTGCGGGCCATATACAGCCCCGAAATCATTTGGTCTGACCCTTCCAAGGCAACCACAGGTGGAACTCGAAATTCAATAAATTCAATTAAATGATTGACCAAATATAGCAGGCTAATTTTTAAGTTAATAATTTGTACGGCTGCGAATGATGTTATAAATATCCAAATGGCCCTTGGCAGAAAATGGTTTCCCACCTTTGCTTTAATGGCTAAAACTGTTTTAAAAATATGATGTGAATTAATTGCAATCTTCGATAGAGGGAATTACTTAAGGCAGATTTCTGATGAAAATTGCAAAATTTCTATCCCTAGGTATTTTTTAAACTTTATTGTTAAGAGTATTACAGATGTCTCCCCTATTTTCTCCCCATTGCCCCCTTCCACACGGGTCCCTCCCATCCCAGGCCTTCACCACCCTGTTGTCTGTGTCCACGGGCAATGGAAAGAAGCATATAAGTTCTTTGCTTAATCTCTTCCCACCCCCCACCCCTTCTGTCTGAGTTTCGTCAGTCTGTTCTGTGTTTCCATGCCTCTGGTACTACTTTATTCATCAGTTTATTTTGATCATTAGATTTCTTGTTCATTTATTTTGATTTTTAGATTCAGTTGCTGATAGATATGCATTTAATGTTCAAATTTTTTATTCTTTCTTTTCCTCCCTCTTCCTCTTAATACTGGTCTGGTGGTGATGAACTCCTTTAGCTTTTTCTTACCTGTGAAGCTCTATATCTGACCTTCAGTTCTAAGTGATAGCTTTGCTGGGTAGAGTAATCTTGGTTGTAGGTCCTTGGTTTTCATCACTTTGAATATTTCTTGCCACTCCCTTCTGGCCTGCAAGGTTTCTGTTGAGAAATCAGCTGACAGTTCTATGGGTTCTCCCTTGTAGGTAACTAACAGCTTTTCTCTTGCTGCTTTTAAGATTCTCTCTTTGTCTTTAGCCTTTGTCATTTTAATTATGTTTCCTGGTGTGGGCCTCTTTGAGTTCCTCTTGCTTAGGACTCTCTGAGCTTCCTGGACTTGTATGATTATTTCTTTCCCCAGATTGGGGAAATTTTCTGTCATTATTTTTTCAAATAGGTTTTCAGTTTCCTGATCCCTCTCTTCTCCTGGCATCCCCATGATACGAAATTGTCCCAGAGGCTCCTTACACTGTCTTCATATTTCTGGATTCTTTTTGCTCTTCTGGTTGGGTGTTTTTTTGTTTCCTCATGTTCCAAATTACTGATTTGATTCTCAGTGTCCTCTGCTCTACTGTTAATTCCCTGTAAATTATTCTTCATTTCAGTTCGTGTAGCCTTCATTTCTGACTGGTCTTTTTGTATGTCTTTGACATTCTCACTAAGATTCTTGAAATTCTCATTAACTTCCCTGAGCATCTTTATAACCATTATTCTGAACTCTGTATCTGTTAGCTTGCTTGGTTCCATTTCATTTAGTTCCTCTTCTAGAGATTTCTTCTCTTCTTTCCTTTGTGACATGTTTCTTTGCCTCC